AGAATGCAAAGGTACCTTCCTTCTATTTATAAGCTGAGATTTCTGTCAGTACTCATTACCTTAAGATGAGATAGATACTTAGTGGAAGACAAGATTGTGTGTTAAAGCTAATTACTATCAAATGTAATGTAGCTGCAAGTGTCCTTTGGGAATGGAGATTCTGGTTCCATGCCTTACCAGTCACAGTAGAATGTGATCTCCATAAGGAGTATTATCTTTGAAGAAATAAAAAAATAGTAATTATTAGTTAGTTAGTTTAGTGCTTATGAATTCTGTGAAGTGAAGGAAATTATGCAATATGGATAAGCTGTTGTTGTGGTTTAACTCCAGCTGGCAACTCAGCCCCTTGTAGCCACTCACCCCCTGCCAGTGGAAAGAAAAGGGGAAGGGTAAAAATGAGAAAACATGTTGGTTATTGATAAAGGCAGTTTAAAAGGTAAAGCAAAAGCTACACATGCCAGAAATGCAAACCCAGGAATTCATTCTCTACTTTCTGCCGGAAGGTCAGTGTTCAGCTCCCCAGGACAGCAGGCTTCATCAAGTGTTGTGGTTACTTAGGAAGACAAAATTTTAAATTCATAGAATCATTCCCCTTTTCCCCTTCTTCCTTCAGCTTTTATTGCTGAACATGATGCTGATGCCATATGATGGGGAATGTCCCTTTGGTTAGTTGGGGTCAGCTGTCCCAGCTGTGTCCCCCTCTCAGCTTCTTGTTCACCCTCAGCCTCCTTGCTAGTGTGATGGGGTGAGGAGCAGAAAAGATGTCAGAGCAAAAACTGAACTTTAGGCTTTATTCTAACATAAAAAATTATAAGTAAATAGTAGAAATTTTTTTGTAGATGGTGTTGTATATAGTTTAAATATCTTTCTCTGGAAACTGTCAGTAGAGTTTCTAATTATTTAATAAACAATTATGAAAGCATCTTAGTCTCACTTCTACTGATGGTAGCAAAACATTATTGTTTTTTACAGCTAAGATAGTCTAACTTGGCAAGGTTGTTTCCTGCCTTGGCCTAGAGATCGGGGAAGGTTTTTTAGGTCCTAATTTATGGTATTGGACAGTCTGTTTTTATGTTTAGAGTCTTATCTCAGCATTTCACAGTAAGGAATTCTGAAATTTAAGGTTTGTATCTTGTTTTTTTAGGGTACCCTTGAAAGTGGAACAAGCAAACAATGCTTGCGATGCCTTGGCTAAAACCGTGTACAGTCATCTGTTTGATCATGTAGTGAAAAGGGTAAACCAGTGCTTTCCATTTGAAACTTCTTCTTTCTTCATTGGAGTTCTAGATATAGCTGGTTTTGGTAAGTACACCTAAAATAATTTCTAGATGTCACTTTTTTCCACCAAAGATTCAATAACAAATTCTGTAATGAAGAGTGGGAGGGTTTTTCTTTTTGGTGTTGATGGTTCTTGTAAAGCTTTTGCTTTTTGCTTCTTTGACTCACTAAAATTCAAAACAGGGCATGTTTTGTGATGTGCTCTAGTCCTGCCAAGGTTGTCCAGGGGAACAGCCTTTGGTTTTCAGGTTTTTAGAGTTTTGGTATCTACTGCTAGCCTGCTGTATCATAGATGCATGAGGGTGTATTGGTACAATTTCACTGCCTGGTAGCATCTTGCTTTGGTTTGCTGCCAACTGTCTGTCATTTATCTCAGAAATATTATCTGCTGCAGTAGTTTTAGATGGCTTGTGTACAACTTGGAAATCTGTAAAAGATTTCATTTTGCTGAAAGAAATGACTGTAGATCTGAACACATCTTTAAATATTAGCACTGTGAAGCTTCTCTTATTTACTATTTAATTTAAACTCTTGGAACACTGTTTTATCATAAAAGTTTAACTTCTGTCTTTCAGAGTACTTTGAGCACAACAGTTTTGAACAATTCTGTATAAACTACTGTAATGAAAAACTGCAGCAATTTTTAAATGAAAGAATTCTGAAAGAGGTATGATATATTTAATGTTATATTTGAGGATTTGGTTTTTTAACTGTTACATTTGAGGATTTTTTTTTTTTTTGCTGAAGAGATGCTTTAAATAGCATTACATTTCATAAGATTACACGTTATGTTTGAATAAAAAAAATCAGTTGACATACTGTTTCCATATTATGTGACATCTGGTTGTGTCAGAAAATAATGTGGATTTTTGAAAACCAGCGATGAGGTATCCAGAGATTGGATAATCCCCAATACCTAATGAAAATATTGAATTGAACAGGCTTATCATTAAGGCATTAAAGTTGGAATACATTAAGCTGTGTAAGGAAATTCTTAAATGTGTGTTGATTCCTGCTATATTTTTAAAAATTGTTTCATGTTTATTAGAAAAAATAATTTTTTTCTTGATTTTTTTTTTAGAAAAACAATTAAGAGTGGTGTTTTCTCTGTTCAATTACTTTAGGAACAAGAACTTTACCAGAAAGAAGGCCTGGGGGTTAATGAAGTTCGTTATGTAGATAATCAGGACTGTATAGGTATGGACTTCTTGAATTCTCAAGCTTTTTGTTGCTGTCATGGGGAAAAAACCTTCAAGCAGAGGAGGTGAAATATGCATAGCACTAGTAATTATATGGTTTTATATATATCCTCATTCAATTCACAATCTTAAGAGTTCATAGGCATTTCTGCAGTACAAGAATAGCAGTTTCATCCTTTCCACAGGAAAAGGTTTGTAGTAAAAATTCCTCTTAAAAGAGCAGTTTCATAGAGAATGGAAAAAAATTGCAAAACTGTAAGTTTGTGTCTAATAGTTTCAAGAGCATGAATTTCTGTGTCAGCTTTCAAGGGCTTCGGAATATCTGTGTGAGAGGTCAGGGCAATTCAGTTGTTAAAAGCTGTGAAACCACCACTGTCTGCTAAATGCTGGTCTGCCTTTCCTAAAAAAAAAATTCTACTTCTCACTGGGTCATGTTGTCAAATGGAAATATTAACCTTTTAGTTTTGACATGTGGTAAAATGTGTATGAAAAGCTTAAAAATCTCCCCAGCAACTGAAGCTAGACCTAGGATCGTACTGTAAGAAGACTTAGGCACTTTTTGGATGACTAATTTCAGCTTGAGATTAAGAGCTAAAATCAAATAATTGGTTCCTGATCTTTTTCTCCCATCTTCCACAAGCTTAGAACTTCTAGATTTGATGGATAACCTATACATGCCTATTAAGATCTACAGAATTGATTTGCTGTGACTTCTTGTATTTTGTTTAATGGCTTTCCATAGGTACTTTTGTAGAGAATCAGATCTGCAGCATTTCGGTGTGTAATTTTCAGTAGTGATACAAGTTGATATATTCAATTTCCATATATATATGGGGTTTTTTTATTAACAGATTTGATTGAAGCAAAATTAGTAGGTGTACTGGATATTTTGGATGAAGAAAATCGTCTTCCCCAACCAAGTGACCAGCATTTTACTTCAGTTGTGCATCAAAAACACAAGGACCATTTCAGGCTCTCGGTAGGTTTATTTTTGTAGTCTGTCTTGTTTTAATGAAACAGTTCTTGGAACAGTTGATAGTAACACTTCATTGTAATGAAAATCTTTCATAAGAAATCTCATACCGCCCAGTCTGCACAGTCTGTACCTCTTTGTTAAGGACAAGGTTGGTGATTAGATTTGATGAAAAGTTCACTGAAGACTTCAAGCAATTCTAATATCCTGCTGAAACTAAAGCCATATTCTTGACTTGCATTTGAAGTTTAACATGTAAAACATGAAAGGAAGTAAAAACACATTTTAATTTAGATTGTTTCATATCAGATGAATTATTTCATTGTTCTTTTAAAAAATTTCTTGCTTTGGAGAACGTTTGACTCATGTCTAGTGTCTAGCTAGCACTTCAGAGATGAATATAGGAATCATACTAGGAAAATTTTTTTGTTGCTTATTTTTTAACATACAGCGCTGTCTGGAAGATTAAGGCAAATTGTTGAAATTTATATCCATGAATTGTATTGAAATTTAAAAAAATGCCTAAAAAATATGAGTAAAGGAAGCCATCATTTAAAATCCATTTACAAAAATTGTCATCCATTTACCTTGTGCTAAGTTTCCACTTAATCCTGCTTGCCTGAATTGGTGTGCAGTGAAACATTCTGATGTTATGTGTATGATCAGCTAGTGCTTGCCTGTTAACATATACCATCTAAAGCCATATCTTGAGCTTCAGTCTAATCCTATTCACATAACAAGGTTTTTCATCAGCTGTCAAATTTATGATAAAGAAAGTGTTGATTAAAGTCACAACCAAAATCAGCTGGCTAGTATTAGCAATCCTGGTGACATGTATTTTGAATGCAATGTATTTAAGAGTGTGGAAGAGTTTGAAATTGGGTTTTTAGAACGTCATGGTTTGGACAGGAATGGTAATGATCAGCACAATTGTATTTACAGGAAATATGATTTTAGCACCTAGTGCTCTTGTCAGATCACGGTGGTGTTCTAAGAATAAACTTTTTCTTAGTCTCCATTGCAATATTTCTTTGTAATTCAACTCCTTAATTCCAGATTCCAAGAAAGTCTAAATTGGCCGTTCACAGAAATATCCGAGATGATGAAGGCTTCATTATCCGACACTTTGCAGGAGCAGTGTGCTACGAGACGGTAATTTTATCTGTGGAACACTATGTTTATTGTGTTTTGTAGAACATTTATATGTTTTCAGTGCATATAGCTTCAATGACAAAATTTCTTGTGATCGAAAGAGAAGTTCAAACATTGATATGACTTTGTGAATTGACAAATTTCTTTTAACTTTTCAGGCTACAGCCCATTTTAATGACATGTGTTTTGTGTAAAAGTTTGTTTCAAATCTACAGGTAATGGTGTCAGTATTAAATATATTGATTCACAGCCTACTGCAAATTTTGCATCAAAAGGTGTTTACATCCTGGGGAGAAGAATAAACTGTGATATAAAAGTATTGTTAGTGAAGAGTATTTGGACACATGATTATCCTTGTACACAGTCCCCATCGTACTTTGTGTTTTCCATTTCTACTGGCAATGGACTCATTCATGTAAAAATACAAAATACCTGAAATTGCTACCCTCAAAATACATTCCAGA